CTTTAATTCACAGAACATTTTAATTACATACATCCTGAACTCTTCTTGGATATCTCTTCTGCTGTGCTGGCCATTGGTTCTAGTAATGTATCTTGGTTTGTTTGGGGCACTTTCTTCCCTTGTTTTTTTCATATTGTTTGTCTTTCCCTTTAGCTGTGTAGATTCAAGGTATTACAGTTTTTACCAATAGATTTATAGTGTCCCTGCAGAATTCCATGATCTCTCTTTTGAAGAGGAGATCAATATTAACATATCCCAATGCAAACAATATGCAGGCTTAATTAAACCAAATAGCTTTCATTGAGATGTTTCCTATTTTGTCACAATAGACAGAAATGGTGAGTTTGATTATTATTAACAATGTAAACAGTAGGTTGCAAAAGGACCTACAGTTTAAAATGATGGACAAAGAGAGAAGTGGGGGCAGGTTTAGGTTGAGATGTTAAGGAGGTAGGAGATGAGGATATAGAGTTATTAGATCTTAGGAAACATAAAGGAGGAATCAACAGATGTTGGATAGTAGCAGGAGAAAAGAGACTTTGAGGAGATAAATAAGTAGGAAGGGAAGAGAGAGGGAGGGAGGGAGGAAGAGGCTAGAACAACAAATTATTTTGCTAATATTCTATTGAGATTTTGCATCCATAATGATAAGATATATCAGTTTGTAGTTCTCCTGTGTTGTCTTTGTGTTAATTCTTAGGATTAGGTTAACACGGGCACTTTAGGATCTAATACAGTGTTCACTGTGTTCTATATTTAGAAAACAATAGATATTTCTATGAATGTTTGTAAAGAAGTAAAGAATTGGTATTAGTTCTTTTAGTCTTTGGTAGAATTGTCCATGAAACATCTGGACCTGAGCTTCACTTTGTAGAAAAGTTCTTAATTTCTAACTTAGTCTCATCACATGATGTATGTCAATATATATTTTGTATTACTTTTTGTGTCAGTTTCTGTTGTTTGTGTCTCTTTAGGAATTTGCCTATTTCATTTATGTAATTTATATAATTATTGTTATAATCTGATTGTTACAATATCGTTATATTTCTTTTTATATTTATAATGTCAGTATTTCCCCAGTTTTTATTTTGAATGCTACTAACTGTAGCCTTTCTATTTCTGGGTCAGTGTAGCTATTATTTTGCCAATTTTGTTGGTTTTATTCAAAGAATTGCATTTGTTTTCATTAATTTCTTCTATTGATTTTATTTTTTATTTGATTAGTTTCCACTTTGATCCTTAATATTTTTTTCCTTCTGTTTCCTTTAAGTTTAATTTGCTCTCCATTTTTTCATGATTTATTGTGTAAAGTTTGATCATTCATTTGTGATCTTTGTTTTATGTAATAGATAATAATTTCCCTCTGTACAGTGATGGCTTTTTCTCCATTACACAAATTTTACATATTATGCCTCCTTTTTTCCTTT